CTTTACACAACTTGAGCCAACGCTCCTCAATGATCAAACATCACAATTACTTCCACGAACTTTGCCCAACAATTAAAAATCATCACCAAGATATGAACAATACGACGAAGTCATAAAAATCACATTAAGAGACTCACGGGCATGCTAGACACCAACGCATAGATACTCGTCACCATGCCTATACGTCGTACTCAACAATTACCACATAGTAAATAGGACTCGACTCCTAATCCCTCAAGCTAAGGTTAGAGCAAACACTTACCTCGATACCATGAACACAATTCACGTCTCAATTATCGCTTTACCCCTTGATTCCACCATCAATCCGCTCGTATCTAGTCACAAGTTACTTAATTGCATCAATAAACGCTAAAGGAATCAATTCTAATGCATGAAGATGAGTTTTCTAAAGTTATACCCAAAAAGTAAAAAATCGCCCCCGGGCCCACATGGTAAAAACCCGAGGTTCGAACCAAAACCCGATTACCCATTTCCCCACGAACTCAAATATATAATTTATTTTGAAATCGGACCTCAAATCGAGGTCCAAATCCCCGTTTTTGAAAAAAACTAGGGTCTACCCAAAACACCCAATTTCCCTATGAAAATCATTGATTTGAAGTTGAAATCATGTTAAAAGATGTTAATGATTGAAGGAAACGAGTTAAAAGTGACTTACAATCGATTTGGAAGAAGATTTGTTCTTGAAAAATTGCCCTAGGGAGTTTGTGTTTTGAAAAGATGTGGAAAATGGTTGATTTTCGGCTAAGTATAAAAAGTTGCAGGTTGCAGATATGGGAAATGCGAACTGGGGTTCGCAATTGCGAACCCCGACCTCTGCTATGTTGGGAATTGCGAGAAAGGGCTCGTATTTGCGAGCTGGGAAATGCGAAGATAGGGTTGCATTTGCAACCACTGGCTAGGAAGGGAGGGGATCGCATTTGCGATAGAACCCTCGCAATTGCGAGGATGGGCTGGCCTGGGCCTATTTCGCATTTGCGATTTCGCATTTGCGATATGCGAAGCCTGCAGGCCTGCAATGCAACAGCTGAAAACCTGCAATTTTCTAAGTCCAAAATACACCCCGTGGCCTATCCAAAACTCACCCGAGCCCTCGGGGCTCCAAACCCAATATGCACACCAACCTAAAAATATCATACGGACTCGCTCGAGCATTCAAATCACTAAAATAACATCAACAACTATGAATTTAGCATCAAAATCATGAAATTTTCTTAAGAACTTCAAATTTCCAATATTCTCAAAAACGATCCGATTCACGTCGTTTCAAGTCCGTTTCTTGCCAAATTTCACAGACTTATCTTAAATCATATATAAAACCTGTACCGAGCGCCTGAACCAAAATACGGGCCCGATACCATCAAGTTCTAATCACAATTCATTTCCAAATCTCATAAACAATTTCAGGAAAATAATTTTCTTTAAAAATTTATTTCTCGGGCTTGGGACCTCGGAATTCGATTCCGGGCATACGCCCAAGTCCCATATTTTTCTATGGACCCTTCGGGACCGTCAAATCACAGGTCCGGGTCCGTTTACCCAAAATATTGACCGAAGTCAACTTAATTCATTTTAAAGCCAAATTTTATCATTTTTTTTCACAAATTTTCACATATAGACTTTCCGGCTACGCGCCCGGACTGTGCACGCAAATTGAGGTGATGCTGAAAGAGGTTTTTAAGGCCTCGAAATGCAGAATTTAATTTAAAAATAAGTGATGACCTTTTGGATCATCACAGAGGGTGTTTGGAAAAGCTAATTAAATCAGCTTCTAAGCCCTCTTTAACTTTTTTCAGTATTTGACAAAGTTAAAAAATGCTTAAAATAAGTTAAAAATGCTTAAAACAAGCGAAAAACAATAACTGAGCAATCCCAACTTATTGCTTTTTGGCTTAAAAGTTATTTCTACTGAAAAGCTACTTTTTTTTAGTCAATCCAAACGGGCTCAATAGGTCGGCACATGGTTTTAGCTTATTTAAAAAGGTTACCAATATTTCATCAACTTGCTTTTTCTTTGTGTTTGCATGTTATTTTTTCCTCATATTCAATTTAAATTTATAATAAATTTTTTAACATAATAATAAGTAGGCTTATTTGTAGCACAAAGTATAGGCAACACAATTTGATAATTTCTTAGTGCGTTAAATTTAAGAAAAAAAGTCGCTAATTTACTTAAACTGACTTGTGAATAAGCAAAGAGTTCGCATTTTTTCGTTGATAATTCATTAGTTAATTGTGTTAAATAAGATGAGATATCTTCTTTTAATATAAGAAAAATTAGTGTTACATTAGAAGTGGAGCCGAAAATATAGAAACAAATATTTCTAAAGAGTACCAATTCTACTCTTCTTTTTATAAACTTTCCGCATTAAGTGCTTGAATTAAAGAGAGTTGTTTGAGCAATTGCACATTAAAATATCTACCTGGCATTCAAAATAATCATGAAAATTCAAATGGTAAAAGTATTACAGTTTGAACAGAAGTACCACGAGGCTTAATTTGAGTCTCTATCTCTCTCTCTCTCTCTCTCTCTCTCTCTCTCTCTCTCTCTCTCTCTCTATATATATATATATATATATATATATATATATATCAGTTTGAAGAGTAATACCACGAGGCTTAGAGCCTGTTTGGCCAAGCTTCTGGGAGGCCAAAAGTATTTTTTAAAAAGTTTAAGTTGTTTGGCCAATACAGAGAAGTACTTGTGGCCAGCAGCAGAAGCGGTTTTTCTACTTTTGGGAAGAAGCAAAAAATTCTAGCTTCTTCCAAGAAACAGAACCAGAAGAGGAAAATTAATTTATTCAAGACAAAACTATCCTCACCATACATTTATACTTTACAAATTATCCCTTACTAATTTAAGTTTTTTCTTTTCATTTTTTTTTCTAGTTTTTATCATTCTTTTAAAATTAAAGATATCATATACATGAATCATATTGTAACTTTCTAAATTCTTTATTGACTTTTCTTGTTTTTGATTTTTTTTGTGTAATGTCTTGTAACTTTCCAAATTATTTTCTTCTTTTTTCACACTAAAGCAAATTATCTACATCCTTCTTTGGATTATCAATTCTCTTCCTACAAATAATTATTTATAATTTCTTTTGTTATATGTTATTAGTTTAATTTCCGAATCTTTAAGACAGTTATCAAATCTAATTTGTAAAAATTACCTACAAATAGATAATAAATTCACAATTGCATCGTATAATCTATTTATATATTATTAAAAGAAGAAGAAAAAGCATCACACATTAAGCCAAGTGACAATAGGCCACTTGGCAATTTAGGACAAAGTTAGTAAGGTTAGGTAATACTAATTAGTTTCTTTTTAAATTTAAATTTTAAAAAACTTAAATTATACATTATGTGTTGTTAATAATTAGTTACTCTTTTTGAATCTGAATTTAAACATAAAAATAAATTTCTTACAAAAAAATTTATTTTTATATATTTTAAATTATTTCTAATTTACGCTCAATGTCATCTTTCAAGTTTGACACTTAGAATCATCTAGTTACAATTATCATGGCTATACATATTTCATCCGACGATATTCTTCTACCGATAAGGAATTCAATTATTATGCTAATAAAAACATTACTGCAGAAATTGAGGTAGGAGTTGGGCCTCCTAATATTCCTTTAGAAATGCAAGACAAGTATTCTACTAATATGGAGGCGTTGTGTGATAGACGTAGAGATGAAATTGTTGAGAAATTTTATCACGTATGAGTGACTTTACTTATTATTTCATGGTAGATTATCAATATATAGTAATTTGAGGAATAGACTTCTAATTCATACTGAATGATGTATTTTGATTATTCCAATCATCATGTAACAATAACTGATTATGCTAGATAATAATATATGCTTTGGTATAACTATATATGTAAAATTGATTTAAATCTTTAATATATTTATTTACTTTATGTTTTATATTTTAATTAAATAAAATAAAAAATAATAAAAGTCTCTTATGATATATATTTGAGTTCATTTTTCTCTTTAAAAGAATTATAAAACCTTGGTAATATCCTTTTTGGTAATTTGATACTCAAAAGTACTTTTAGACAGATTGGCCAAACACAATTTGATTACCAAATATTGCAAAAAGTACTTCTTAAATGAATTGGCCAAACACAAACTGTTTTTTTTTAAAAGTACTTTTGAAAAAAGTACTTCTGAAAAAAAATACTTTTCAAAATAAGCAGATTTTTGCAGGTTGGCCAAACGGGCTCTTAATTTGAGTCTGTATCATTTCCTAGTGAGAGAG